GACTTGGGTGCTGGGAACCCACTTTGGGTCCTCTGCAAGAGCAGTACTCACTCTTAAACACCTCTCCAGCCTGAGAATAATAATATGTATATCTGTTTTGTCTTTTCAGAGACAGTGTTTCTCTGCATAGCCCTGGCTCTTGGAACTCACTCTGTAGACCAGGCTGGCCTCAAAATCAGAATCTTCCTGCTTCCCAAGTGTTGAAATTAAAGGTGTGTCCCTTAATCTCAGCATCCCAATAAACTTTTTTTCAAAATTATATAATTATATCATTTCCCCTTCCCTTTCCTCCCTGCTAAGGCTCCCATGTGCAATCCTCCTTCACATTTCTTTCAAATCTATGGCCCATTTCTCTGTGTTGTTATATGTATTATGTATATACATTTATTTCCTAAATACAGCATGGTCTGATATTATTCGTATGTATATATTTTCAGGGTTGATCATTTGGTGTTGGATAACCAATCACTATACTCTTTCTTTTTTAAATTTTTTGAGACAGGGTTTTTCTGTAGCTTTGGAGTCTGTCCTGGAACTCGCTCTATAGACCAGCCTGGCCTTGAACTCACAGATCTGCCTGCTACTGTCAGCATTCCTTTGTTGCTTATAGTTCTTTTCCTAGGGTTGAGGCCTTGTGAGCTTTGCCCCTTCCACATTAAGTATGCCTACTGTGTCATCTTTGTTCAGACACATATTTTTATTTATTTAAGATGTATTTATTTATGTATTTGAGTGCTCTATCCACATGTATGCCTGCATGACAGAAGAGAGCATCAGATCCCATTATAGATGGTTGAGCCACCAAGTGGTTGCTGGGAATTGAACTCGGGACCTCTGGAAGGGCAGCCAGTGCTCTTAAGCTCTGAACCATCTCTCCATCTCCCAGACATATATTTTTAAGACACACCTACTTGATCATATTAGATAAACTATTATAATAATGTAATTTTATTAAAAGCTATGTTTATATGTGTGTGCCTGAGTGTATGTATGTGCACCACGAGCATGTAAGGGCCTGAGGAGAGAAGGTGTCGAATCTCCCAGAACTGGGGTTACAGAGTGTTGTGAGCTGCCACATGGGTGCTGGGAACCAAACCCAGGTCCTCTGCAAGAGAAACGTGTAGTGATACATTATTTATGCTTTATTAAATCTTGCTTGAGGATTCAGAAAGCAAAGTCAGCCACAAGCCATAGAAGCCAGGCACACACCTTTAATCCCAGCAGCCAGAAGATAGGAGGTGTTGGCACTCAGGATAAAGAGGTAGTTGGATCTCTAGCGGGGGGGGGGGGGGGTGATACATGCTTTTAATCCCAGCATTTGGGAGGCAGAGGCAGGTGGATTTCTGTGAGTTCAAGGCCAGCCTGGTTTACAGAGCTAGTTCCAGGACAGCCAGGGCTGTTACACAGAAAAACCCTGTCTCAAAGGGGAAAAAAAAAAAAAAAAAAAAAAAAAAAGTCATCCAGATCTACACAAGAGTAAATCAGTCTAAAAGACTAACGAATTGCATGCCTTTAGTCCCATCACTAGAGGGCTATAAAAGATAAAAGTAGGGTCTTTAGTAGTCAGTATGAGGCATTCAGTGTCCAGCCACACCAAGGAGAGCTTGTGGGCCAGCTCTTTCAGCATGTGCTAGAGGTCACTTGCTTTGCTTTTCTGATCTTCAACTTGAAGCTTGAACCCCAATATCAGCCTCTGGGTCTTTTATTTTTTTGTGTTACAGAAGTGTTCTTAACCACTGAGCTATCTCTTTAGCTCCTGAAATGTGATTCTCTTACTCTTTGGAAGGATTTATTTGGGCTCACATAGAATTAAATTACTTTTTAAAATGCCAAACTATATTCTATTATGTAGATTTACTATAAGTTCTTTTTTATTTGCCTAATTGTGGATACTTAGTTTGCTTCTATAAAAATGGTACAGCCAACATCTTATCTATATGAACAATATTTGAGCTTTTTATTTTTCCAAATCTTTAAGAGGTCCTAAAAAGGATTCTTAAACTCACTTTGTACACGTGTGTGGGTCTTGCATATGAATGCCTGTGCCCTCAGAGGTGCCCGATTCTTCTGGAGTCACAGGCAATTGTGCATGCTGGACATGGGTGCTGGGAATCCAATTCTGGCCCTCTGTGAGGGCCTTCCTTATGCTCTATTAACCATGTCCACAGACCCTAGCCTTTCCATTTTATATTACTTCTACCTCTAACCTCTGCTCTGCAAATGTGATACAGAAACTGCTGAAAAATTAAAGAAAACCATCCAACACAGATCCAGAAAGATCTGTAGATGCATTCTGGCTCTGAAGTCTAGCCTGGGCCTGGAATTCACTATGTAGCTTGGGCTAGCCTCAAACTTGTGACAATCCTCCTGTCTGAGCCTTAGAAGTGCTGAGGATTATAGATGTAAGCCACTATGTCCAGCTGTCTTGTCTGCCATGGAAAGCATCTCCCATAGCTCAGTTGGTAAAAATGTTTGCCTCAGTGCTGCATGAAACTGGGTGTGAGGGGCTTGAGAGATGCCCAGCGGTTACACACAGTGCTGTTCTTGCCCAGGAGCCGAGTTCGGATCCCAGCACCCAGTCAGGCATCTCACAACCACCACAGTTCCAGCTCCAGGGGATTCCTATACCCTCTTCTGCCCTCTAAGAACAGCTGCACTACACACAGAGATACATAATTCAAAACATGAAATAAAAATTAAAAATGTTATCTTGAAACGAAATTACTACCACGAGAGCAACTGTGCCCACAGGCCTATAATCCCAGCACCTGGGCTGTTGGAGACAGGAGGATCAGAAGTTTAAACCTTTTTGGTTTATTTACTTTATTATTTTTTATGCCTATGACTGCTTTGTCTGCATATATGCATACACACCACATGTGTACCTTGTAATTATGGAGGTCAGAAGAGAGTATCAATTCCCCTGGGACTGGTATTACAGATGGTTATGAGCTCCTATGCAGGTTCTGGGAATCGAACCTGGGTCCTCTGTTAGAGCAGCTGGTGCTCTTTCTCCAGCTCAGGATCAGAAGCTTAAAGATTTTGTTCTGTTTTGTTTTTGAGACAGAGTTTCTCTATGTAGCTCTGGCTGTCCTGGAACTCACTCCATAGGCCTTGAACCCACAGAGATCCACCTGCCTCTGCCTCCCAAGTATAGAGATTAAAGACGTGTGCCGCCACCAGGATCAGAAGTTTAAAGTCACCCCTTACGACATAGTGAGCTTGAGGCCAGCCCCGACCTATCTTGTAACAACCATCCCCTCTCACAACTGATTAGTAGTGCAGGCTGGCCTTGAACACCTGATCTTCCTGGTCTTTCCTCCCCAGTGTTGGGACGGTAGGAACTTGTTATCATATAGGGTTTGTGCTTTTGTGGTACCAGGAATGGAGCCCAGGGCCTCATGCTTGCAAGGCAAGCACTCTACCAACTGAGCTTAACTGTAGCCTCCACTTTCCTTTTTTAAAGACAGGGTCTCATAAGGTAGTCTAGTTGGCCTTGAATTCCAGAGCCTCCCCTGTGATCACAGGGGTGTGCCGCCATGCTGCAAAACTGCATCTTTAAACTGGACATTAGAAGTATGGGGAGGGAAACAGCTGGCAATTTGAGATTGGCTTATGTTTTCACAGTTCAAGCCAATGATATACTAGAGGTTCTGAGGCCATTTGGATTTAACACCTGACTTAAAATAGTACTACTAATTATGTCATGGTGTGAATTATGTGAACTCAGACACAGACAACATCTCCAAGCCATAGTTATAGTCTAAAAGGCATAATAACATAGTGCTATATGAAATCCCCAGAAGAATCAAATCTGATAACACATGGAAAGTGCAAAGGCTTAATGCCTACACATTGTATGTGTAATGTAATTGTATGTACATAGCATATATTTAGCCAGAAGACAAATGGTATTACTACCTAAAGGTAGTTATCAAATTGTAATCTTTTTGAGCAATTCAAATATATCAGATGAACATTTTTTTTTTTTTTTTTTGCCTTATCATTTCATGTAAGAACACAGTTAGAAAAAAGTAAGTTGGAGGGTGAAATGTGTAAGCGTCTGTACTGGGATAGTGCTGACTGGAGGGGTGGAAGTGGAGATGGGCTACCCTGGTGGCATTTTCTGCCCGGGGATAGAGATTAATCTGGACCGAGTAGAGGGATGTGCTTAGAGAACATTCTATCTAACCCTCCTGTGGCACTCAGAATAAAATGTTTTATAGAAATGTCACTTGATTTTAGCACAAAGGTAAAATAAAAAATGATATTTTATAAGGTATGCCAAGGGAAATTAATAATCATACTTTGCACTTTAGTGATTTACTTTAGTGATTGCGACATCCATATTAGTAGGCAGGCCAGAGTATCCAAGTCCCCTCTTGGGTGACTATGACTCAGAAACAAGGGCCTTGCACAAGTTTACGGAACCAGAACTAACACAAGACCCCCAGCTCCGATGCTTATTTCTCTAGAGCAAGCTCATCTGTCCTTTTATACATCCACTGATCCAAGAACCAGTCACTGGCCTCCAGGATAAGAGTAAACTTTAACTTCACGCCAGTCTCCATAACCCTTTATAAGCTGCCTGGAAGAGAAAGAGAGAAGCCATCAAATACGTTTCTGAGAAAACTGGGAATGCTCGTGTAGGAGGAGACCGCCGCACAATGAGAGGTCTGCGTGGCCATTCGTGTGGACACTGGCACCGTTAGTGCCGGAGAGCCGAGGGCCAGCGACCCGCGGGCTGCAGGGATCCGCGCTCCTCCTTAACCCGCGCCGGGAGGCGGTGGCCGCCGCGGCGGGAGGGGGAGGGGCGCGGAGCGCGGCGCCGAGGCCGGGGAGGAGCCGGGGCCTGCAGCGGAGCCGAGCCGAGCCCGAGCCGAGCCCCGACGCTCCGTCCGCCTGCCGGCTCCCGGGAACCCCGACCGGCCGGAGCCTCGGTGGTGGCAGCGCGGGGAGCCCCAGGCGCGGGGAACCGGGGACGCGACTGGAGAGGCGCTGCCGCCCGGCAGCGGGTGACGGGTGCCGGGACCGCGGCCTCCGGGACCCTGCTGCCCAGCTGCCCAGGCCGGCCGGGCGGGAGCGGGAGTGCGTGGACCCCACCCTCGGGGCACCCGGCGCCGGGACCTGCTCCTTCTCCCGTGGGAGGGAGGACCCCCGCATTCCCGGGACAGCCAGAGGAGATCGCCGCAGGGCGCGCGCTGTCCCTCCCACGCTGGCTTTGGAGGAGACCCCCAGAAGTCGGGAAGGGTAGTGGGACCTGAAGGAGCCGGAGTGAGACCGCCCCCACTCCCCAACGCACTCCAGACAGTTCGGGACTTTGGAGGCAAAGAGAAAGGGAGCCATGCCTGTGGAGTAGGCACCCCACATCCCACCCAGTACTCACCGCCGAGAGGCGTCCTGACACGCACGAGCCAGGACCCTCCAGGGAACCCGCAGCAATCGGTTCCAGTTTGCTGGAGAGTGGAAGACCTCGCCCCTCAACTTCCGTGCGCCTAGACAGTGGACCCCGGCAGAGCCCCTCCGCTCAGATCTCCAGCAGACAGAAAGAGCCCTCAACCCCTGAAGGATCCAGTTTGGGGGGGAGGGGGATTCCCCCAAAGGGGAGGAGACAACTCCTGGTTGGGAGAGGCTCCTCCCCTCCTCCCTAGGGTAGCAGGCAGGGTGTGGGGGGTGTGCCACCTTCCCCAGGTAGGTCCTCCCTCTCCCCCTCCTTCGGCCCCTCTTCCTCGGAGGACTCAAATCCCCGCTCCGGCTAGGGAGGCTCTTCCAGACACTGGAAGAGTCACAGAGGATGAGACCTGTCACCTGCCTGTGAAGAGGGGAATCCCTGCAACCTCAAACTTCTGTAGCAGGTGGTTTCCTCCAGTGGCTGGGGGAACCTTGGAGGCAGGTTAGTGCTTTCGTGCATTTTCTATCTGTTGTCTTTAGGCACCAGTAGGCATGGGGAGCTGAAATGGTGGATCTTGGGGTTCATTCCTGTGGAAGGTAGAGTCCCCTGGGAAATGTCTTCTGATGGAGCTTCTGCATTGGAAGCTGTGTGTTTTTGCAGACTGAGAAACGGGCTTTTTAGATTTCGGAGACCAAAGGGATGGGTCATTTGCAGTCCCTAGAGAAGTGGATGCTCTTACTGAGAACAGACAACAGGTGCGTTTTCAGGACGCCATGGTTACTGTTAGTAATGCAGGATACAGCACAGCCAGAATCCCACAGCACGCCCCATCCTTGGGTCTTGTCCTCTGGTGAATGGACCTGCGAAAGTGATGGGGACACCTTGTGTCTTGCCTAGGGCATGCCAACGTCAATTTAATGGCCACAGAGGCCTTCCTTCCAGTCTAGTGCAATGTCTGTTTGCCTGACTGTCAATCTGTCCCTACCCACTCTCTCTATCTTGAATACCAGGAGGCCCTTCTGACGTCCCTGCTTCAGGCTGGGTATCTACCATCCAAAGGGAAATGTGAATCCACATGCCCTGAGGTGAGAAAACAAAACAAAACTGTCTAGGGTAGTGCACCCTGGTGGGCTTAAGTCTTCCCAGATAGTGGTCCTGCCTTTGGCTGACAGTTCCTCCGAAAAATCAGATTGTGGCTAAGAGGCAGAGAGAGAATGTTTCCTAGCTTCCCTCCATACCTCATCTGCATGAGTTGATCACCCAGGAGGTCTGACTTCGGCAGAGTTTTTTTTTTTTTTTTAAGTTTCCTTCCAGGAAAACATCTACTGGTCCCATCATCTCCCTTCCCGTTCTCTTGCTTATTTCTGGGTCCCAGGAACCTCGTGGTGAAAATTTTCATCTTACCTTGGAGAATCATCAAAATCTAGAATCTTTAGAAAAAGCAGGACAAAAGGCACCAAGAAAATTTCCTAGTTGAGCCTGGACTGTATCTGTAGCAGAGCTCTGAGTTTTCACCCGAGGTCACTATCTGCAGGCCTGCTCTCTGGTCTGTTCATTGGACCATGCCTCATGTTCTGTCTGGGGCTTCCTCCCCTTGGGTTTTTAGTGTCTGCCTCCCTAGATGGGCCGTGGGCAGACTCTCAGTCCTGGAGGTTTCTGTAGTGGCGGTGTGTGAGATGAGGCTGTAGTCCACGAGTCTGATGGCTGTGCTATAGAATGATGTTCTCGGCTCTCAGTGGAGATGAAGGTGGCTTGGTGTCTGTGTTTTGGGCATGTACATGGAGCAGGGTGCACTAGTGTTTCCCGAGTGTGCTCTCTGATCCCTTAGAGTCATTTCTGGCAGGCATGTAGAAGCAGGTCACCTTCTGCAAGGACCTAGAAGAAGTGAGGAAAGCTTAGCAGTCCCTCTGCCACCAGTGGGAATTCTCATGCCCCCTTCTGGCAATCATATCTGGCAGCGGGGCAGCGTTTTCGCAGGTTGGGCCCATTTCTCCCGGGACTGGTAGAAGAGCTTCATTATGGATACCTCCAGTCTCAAAAAAGATGAGGCTCCTTTACTCCCATGTCTAGAATCGCCTGCCCCACTTTTTGAAAAAGTGATGTCTCTGGTGTAGTAGTGGCTTGTTTTCTTACGAAGCACTTTGCCAGATGCTGGAATGCAACTTCTGGATGGCGCTGTGTGAACTGTCCTGTAGCTGCTCCAGGCGGACCACTCATTCGACTGGCTCTGTTGGGACAGGAATCAGTGTGGGGCTGGTTGGATTAACTATGATTTGGAGTGTTCTATTTCCTGGACTGTATCTTATGACTGCATCTAAATCTGCTTGAAAGACAGATGATGATATTTCCTCCACCCCTTCATCCTTGGAGGTTTCCCGACCTTACACTAATCAGTATGGGGTTGATATGAATGACGAGACATTTGAAATGCAGACATTCTGACAGCTTGCAGAGTTGCTTTAGAATTTGAAACTCAACCACTGCACCTTTGTTTCTAATGCTGCCTCTATGATCTGCTATAATTTTTGACATTCTCTTTCCTTTGTTTTAAAGACTTATTGTGTGTTTTATGTGTGGAAGTATTTCCTCTGCATGTGTGCACACCAGAGGAAGGGATCATTCCATGAGGCCACAGTTACAGATAGATGTGAGCGACTGTATTGGTGCTGGGAATTGAATTCAGGCCTTCTGGAAAAGCAGCCACTGTTCTTAACTGTTGAGCCATCTCTCCAGCACCTCACACTCTCTTTTCATCAAAATACTTCGGTGCTTGGTGCTGGCCTTTGGGCTGCCCATGCATGTTAAACACTCTGAGCCATACATACAGCCTACTAATATTCATTTTTTCTTCATTCAAAAACAATGGTTTACTTACTAAGTGCCTTAGGCATATTAAGAGATATTAGATAATCCTCACAACAACTCTTGTAGGAATAATTAACCTTTATTTAAAAGGATTTTAATATGAGTAGTGGTGGTGCACACCTTCAATCCCAGAACTGGAGGCAGAGGCAGGCAGATCTCTGAGTGAGGACATCCTGGTCTACAGAGTAAGCTCTAGGACATCTGTGTAGCCATTGAAGCCAGGGCTACCCAGAAAAACAAACAAACAAACAAACAAACAAGCAAACAAGCAAACAAAAAAAAGAAAAAAGAAAAAGAAAAAAATCTTTTAAAAAACTTTGTAGATGTGTGTGTGTGTGTGTGTGAGAGAGAGAGAGAGAGAGAGAGAGAGAGAGTGTGTGTGTGTGTGTGTGTGTGTGAGAGAGAGAGAGAGAGAGAGAGAGAGAGAGAGAGAGAGAGAGAGAAACAGTGTCTCACTATGTATTGGTGGCTGGCTGGCCATGAGCTTACTATGCAGCTCATTGCTGGCTCAAACTCATGGCAATCCTCCTGTTTCAGCCTTCCAGAATGTTAGCTGTACAAGCTTTAGTCACTATATCTAACTTTTTAGAATTTTTATTTTATTTTACAGAGCTAGAAATTAAGATACAGACAAGTTAAATGACTGGTCTGTCAGGGCTGGACTTGCAACCCAGGCAGCATGGCCGATCACCCCATCGCTACCCTGTTAGCTTTGGCATTATGTACGGCTCAGGAAGCTATCCTTCCTGGATACCTGACTTGGGTTCCACATGGAGAGCAGTGGTAACTAGCTGTTTGGGTAAAACGGGCAGTAAACAGTGCAGCTTCTTGTGGCCCTACAAGTCCTGTACCTCTGGCCGTTCATTCCCCAGGAAGACTTTGTGTGCCTTTGTTGTGTGTGCTGCCTTTCCCCAGCACTGTAGTCTTTGTTAGCTGTCCCATGGATGTGATGGAGTCTGCCCTTTGGCTGCCTTTCCCAGATTCTGTGTGTATTTCCTTTCAGTCTTCCAGCATGCCGAGAAGAATGTGGCCTGACTCAGGTTCTGCCTAAGCCCAGTGGCACACGGCCCACCTGGAGAGAGGTCTGGGTAACTAGGTTGGCTGGCCTGAGAAATGGAACCACCTCTTGTTTGTGTTTCTAATAATAGCCCTGGACATTAGCCTTGTGCCATTATTTTGGGGAGTGTGGAATGTGTGGCAGCTACGAGCCCATTAGCTCCATTCCTGTCCCTCCAGGGATGAAGCCTTGGTTGGGGCTATGACTTCATTTCTTTTACTGGAGGGGGAAACTGAGGCATCAAGACTTCATCAGGGAGTGAGGGATGGCTAGGGGCACTTAGTGAGTCAGTGTTGGGGTTGGGAATAAATAGGACGAGGAAGCTCAGTCTCCACTTTATGGATGGGGAAGTAAGGGGGTAAGGGAGTAGGCCAGGCTGAAGAACAGGGTGCTGGGAGACCGGGAAGGACCAGGCCCCGTGGGCTTTGTAGAGTTTACACTGGAATGTATCCTGAGAGCTGAGGTTTGCATTTGGAGAGAGGGTAGTGGAGAAAGGTGTCTAACCTCAGGGTTCCACTGTGTGGGTAAGGGAGAGGAGGCATAGGGCAGCTAGAAAGAGGCAGGGAGTGTTTCCCTTCCAGGGATCCCTGGTGGCTGGCATGTGTCAAATGGGCTTTCTAAGCCTCTACTCTCATGCTCCATCCAGGTTGCCATCTAGAGCAGTTCAGAGGAAATGACTGAAAATTTCTGGCTAGAAAGATGAAATTTCCTGGGGTTATTTAGCAGGAGATAATAGGGGCTAGGGACTGATGCCCTGTAGACCCAGGGGAGCTGATTGTAGGAAGATTGCTTGAGTCTGGGAGCTTGAGACCATCGTGAACAGCAGACTCAAAACACACACACACACACACACACACACACACACACACACACACACACACACTCTCACCCTGGTTGAGAAGGACAGAGGCTGACTGACTAAGGAACAGGGTAATTAGTATCTTTCTAGGGATGAACTTGGTCCTTGAGAATTTGCTAATTGGCCTGTCACTGTTAGTTGTGAGAACCCAGCTATGGAACGGACACTGCGCAAGCTCCCTGCTGTAGTCCAGAGGCTGGGATGTTTTGACACAGCAAAAGGCTAGGTGTGTGGCTTCCTGGAGTGATGACATGTTCCCATTGTTTTCCAAGTTCCCAAGGTTTGGGGCAAGGTGGTGATATTAGAAAGAAAGGATTAGAGCTGGAGAGCGTGCTGAGGCTGAACGGGAAAGGCTTTCTTGGTACAAGTTACAAACAGGGCCCCGCTGTTTTTCTCTGCTCAAACAACTCTTGGGGTGCAGTTAGGTCTCTTGCTGCCCAGATCCCCAAGCACAGATGTTCTCTTCAGGGCTAGGTTGTCTTGTTGGCCGGGAACACTGGGCCAGGTACAGGCTGATTTCAAGGGTGGGGACCTGGTCAGGAGGAATGGGAATTCTGACCTGTAGGGGAAAGGGCAAGTGTCTGCAGCAAAGCTACAGTGTAGGACGAAAAAGTGAGAGCCTGAAAGGTATGTGCTGTGTTGGGGTTAGGAGAGAGAGGGTTGGGGTCCTGCTTGAGACAGACAGGGTTTGGGCTTGCCAAGTGTGTGAGTCTGTGCATGCTTCCCTGTATCTGGTCTGGTTGTGCCCCTTTTGGCTATGGATTGTTAGAGACATCATCCGCAGAACAGGGTTCTCACCCTTCCTAAGTTCTGAGGGGTAGCCTTGGCTGGTGCAGAACACCGTCCTGCTGTGACTGAGCAAGACATGCTAACTGGAATCCGGCAGCTGAGCAGGCACAGACCTGTCAGACAGTCAGTGCTTAGGGGCTCGCTGGCTTCAGCTCCAAGGAAGTGCCAAATGGCTACGTAGAGGTTCCTGTCAGCTTTTCTAGACCCTGCAATACAGCTACTATCGCCTATTCGTTGTCACCTTCCACCAACATGTCACTATCCACACCTCCCCGGTGGTGAGAGCCTAGGCGGTTTGGTTGGCGGCAGGGCAGGCAAACATCAGGCGTGGGCGGAATCGTAGCTCTAGGAGTTTGCATGGAGGTGCAGCCAGTCTGCGTGCCTGGCTGGGAAGGAAGGAGGGAGGAGAAGGGCGGGGAAGGGGAGCCAGCTCTTAGCCCCACGGAGGCTATTTTTAGCCAGGCTATCTGATTGTTACCGGTGTGCACACAGCTGGGTGTCTCCCTGGCTTGGTGAAGCCCAGCAGGCTTGGGAGGTGGGAGGTCTTTGCTGATGCTGACTTCTTCCTGGTGCTGGTGTCTGTGGGCGGGGCCTGCGTGGGGGAGCTTCCAAGGTGTGAGGGTAGCTGTGGACTCAGTAGCTGCTGCTTCTGTGTGACTTTGTTTGGTAATGTATGCCGTGTGCATGTTGTGGTCTCTAGGAGCGCGCCACTGTCCCGTGTCAGTCTTGTATCTTGCTGTTGCTGGTTGTCATCATTTGGTTATTTATTCCTTTATTGTAGTGCTGGAGACCGAACCCAGGGTCTCAAGCCAGTGCTGTACACTGAGCCACACCTTCAGCCCCCAACCCCTTAAATTTCTTTTTAAAGTTATTTTTTACGGATGAGTGTTTTGCATACATGTATGTATGCTTATCAAGTGTGTGTGTGTGTGTGTGCGCGCGCGCGCGCGCGCGCGCACCTCATGCTCTAGGAGGCCAGAAGAGGCTGTTGGATTCTCTGGAATTGGGCTTTGTAGATGGTTGTCAGCATTGGGAATGAAACCCAAATCCTCTTCCAGAGCAACAAGTGCTCTAAACTGTTGAGCTATCTCTTCTCTTGCCCTTCTCTTTTTTACTTTTTATTTTAAGACAGGCTCTCACTGAATTGCCTAGGCTGCCTATGGACTCACTGTGTAGCCCAGGAAGGCCTTTAACTTGTGATCCTGCTGCCTCAGCCTCCAGAGCAGTTGAGGTTACAGTGCTCCCAGACCAGTTCAGCTGCTAGATCCTGCACTTGGGACATGTCCAATCTGCCGTATATTAGCCATGTGTGTAGCAAAAGGCTGAGTGCGCTCATTTAGTAGGAAACATCTTTAAGAGTGGTGATGTGTGATTCTTCATTGGTGGATGCTTGTGTTTGCTCAGACTGTCTTTATATGTGCTATTGCTGTGTACTGGTGGATGCTATATATAAACATACAAGTGTCATGTAATTGGAGAATAGACTTCAGCTAATTTTACCTGCTGTCTAAGTGGGGTTGATTTTTTAAAAACTTATTCTTATATAGAGTTTAAAAATACTGTGTTGTGGAGCTATAAGGGGAAGTGAGTTCAGTTTTTGTGGGGTGTGATATCTGATCCTGCATGAAGGGAGAGTGTGGTCACACTCTCCATTAAGATGCGGGGTGTGAAGCGCCACCCCATCACCTGGTGGGTTGCTGGTGGTACTTGGTCACACTCTCCATTAAGATGCGGGGTGTGAAGCGCCACCCCATCACCTGGTGGGTGACTGTGGTACTTGGTCACACTCTCCATTAAGATGCGGGGTGTGAAGCGCCACCCCATCACCTGGTGGGTTGCTGGTGGTACTTGCACTTGGGGTCATGGGTCAGCTCAGGAGAGGGTTCCCTAGTGGGAATTAAAATGGGGCCGAGCTACTTGCCTTATACTTTGGACACAGAGTAGTTCTTGTCCCAGTAAACAGGAACCTCATCTGCCTTCCTCCCCACTTTGTCCTCTTCTCTGCAGAACCCAGAAGTACCATGGCCTCCGACCTAGAGAGCAGCCTCACCTCCATAGACTGGCTGCCCCAGCTGACTCTCCGAGCTACTATTGAGAAGCTTGGGAGTGCTTCTCAGGCTGGGCCTCCAGGGGGCAGCCGGAAGTGTTCCCCAGGCTCTCCCACCAATCCTAATGCCACCCTCAGCAAAGATGAGGCAGCAGTCCACCAAGACGGCAAGCCGCGATACAGCTACGCCACCCTCATCACCTATGCCATCAACTCTTCTCCCGCCAAGAAGATGACCCTCAGTGAGATTTACCGCTGGATCTGCGATAACTTCCCCTACTACAAGAATGCTGGCATTGGTTGGAAGGTGGGCCCGTTTCTATAGCTACCTTCTCCACTTTTGTTTCTTCCTGTAACCCGGTCTGGTTCATTCTGACTTGTTTCAGGGATATATAAACTCAAGGTCCCTTATCGTCTACCCCTACTTTTATTTACTTTAGCATTAATCAGCTTCATAAACTTTATCATGGAAACACTAGTGATGCCAAGCCATTAAGTACAGTTATGGGAAAGTAGGATGCTGTTGGTAGCCACGCGCTCTTATTGTCTGGTTCCCTCAAAAGGGCAGTCTTTGATTTCATGTCTTCCTTGTCACTCTGCTATGTTCAAGTCATTGAGCAAGGCAAGGCACAACTCTTGCTTTGGTAGGAAACTCACTGAATTTCTACAGCTTCTATGTCATCGTTTTTTGAAGCATTGTATATACTAAGAAAAAAAGAATGATCAGGCCCTTTACCAATAGCTAGCTGCTTCACTAAGCAAGCAAGGAGGTCCTGAGACAGAGATAGAGGAGAAAGACAGTTGATATTAAACTGTTTATATTTTAGCCAGTTTTAGTCATATATGCCTTTAATCCTAGCACTTTGGAAGCAAAGGCAGGTGGATCTGAGTTCAAGGCCAGCCCGGTTTACATAGCAAGTTTCAGTCCAGCAGGGCTATGTAGTGAGACCCTCCCCTAACCTAAAAAGAAAAAGATGGAGGAGGAGGAAGAAGAATCCAAACAATAACAACAAAACCCCCAAAGATTTATTTATTTCGTGACAATCATCCCATGTGACTCAGGCTGGCCTGGAACTCACAATGCAGCTGAAGCTGACCTTGAACTACTGACTGTCTTGTCTTGATCTCCTAATTTTGGGCTGTCAGGCAGGCATCACCAAGCCAGGCTTGCTTGTAATCCTTTGGAGCAGCAACTCATTTGCCAATTGTTGGGTAGGAGTGGGAGTTAAATGTACTTTTCACTCTCTAAATCGCCACTTGACTTACAAGCCAGATGATGAATTGAGGCTATTGGAAGCATTCAATCTTCCCTTGGTAAATGTGTCCCCTCTAGGCGACAGTTCTCAACATACCTACACATATGTGCTACAGGTTTTCTTTTTCTCTAGATGTGGTCATTCTGAGTGTTACTAAGGATATGAAGCTGACCTGTGCTTTTGTTTAAGTCTGTGTGTTAGTGAGGATACAAGAGTGATGTGTTGTGTACCACAATACATCTGGAGGTCAGAAGAGAACCTTGGGTGTTGGTCCTTGTCTTTTAACTCGTTTGTCATTAACACATGTGTAACAGGCGCTCTCTCTCTCTCTCTCTCTCTCTCCATATATATGTATGTGTGTATACACATACACACACAGAATAAAATTCTGCTCTTTTGATTTTCATAGGGAATTGAGAAGTGGGGTAGATATGAATTTGAGGCGTTTATTTGTTGGTGTGTGTGTACATGTATGTTTATGACGTGTGTACAAGTGTAAGTACATTTGTACTATGTGTGGCTATGGAGGTTAGAAGACAGCCTGAGGTAGGGGCCTCATCCTCCCCTGGTTTAAGGCAGGGTCCCTATCGTTCACTGCTTCTGCCAGACTGGATAGTGTTCCAGGATTTTTTTGTTTTCTTGGTTTTTTTTTTTTTTTTTTGCTTTTTGTTTGTTTGTTTTTAAGAGTGGGTTTCTCTGTGTAGCCCTGGCTGTCCTGGAACTCACTCTGTAAACCAGGCTAGCCTTGAACTCAGAGATCTGCCTGGCTCTGCTTCTGCCTCCTCTGCCGAGCACTGGGATTAAGGTGAGCGCCACCACCTGCCTGGGTGCTTATGTCTCCACATCTAACCCTAAACCTCTGGGATTACAGGTGTGTTTGCCTATCCCTGTTAATGTGAATTTGGAGATCTGAACTTAGGTAACTTAGGTCTCTTCCTTGGGTACCACACTGTTTATTCAGTGAACCACGTCCCCAGATCCTAATTAAAATTCATTATTATTATTGTGTGTTGTGCATGGTGTACTTGTGTGTGTGTGCATGCGTGTGGAGGTAGGGGATGACTTTATAGAGTTGATTCTCCCCATCCCATCTGTATGTGGGTTTTAGGGATCAGGACCCCGGAATCGCCATCTCATCAGCTGTCAGCACCCTCCTCCCCTGGCCTCACCATGTAACTCTGGTTGTCCTCTCTGGAACTCACTGTGTACCAGAGTGGTCTCAAACTCACAGATTCTCTGGCCTCTTCCTCCTAAGAACTGGGTTTATTAAAGGCATGCACCTGCTCCTGGCTGTTTTTGAGAGTTGTCTTTCCATGCAGTCCTGGGTGCCCTAGAACTCATGTGACCAGGCTGGTTCCAGCTTGTGGCCACTCTACTGCTCATGTCTCCCGAGTGCTGGGCTTACAGGTGTGGCTATTCTTGTGTTCATTTTTGAGACAGGGTCTTACCATGTGACTCTGGCTGCCCCCGAACTGGCTGTCACCAGGCTAACCTTGACCTCAGCTCCTGGCTTCAGGCATTTATAGCCTGTTGTCAATTTGGTAGGAAGGCTGAAAAACTAGGAGAATAACTCTCAGGAGCCCCAGTTAACTTGGGTGATTCCCCCAGCGCGCCTCACCCCCAGTGCTTTCTGTGTAATGCTCCCTCCAGCAACACAGTCAAGAGGAGCCGAGTGTGCCCGGAACTTTATTGTATGTTCTTCCGTATTGCTGTGGAAAATACTGGTTTGCCCAGTGCTCAGACCTAACTTGCTTCTTTGCTTCCCCAGAATTCCATCCGACACAACCTTTCTCTTAACAAGTGCTTCCGGAAGGTGCCCAGACCTCGGGATGACCCCGGGAAGGTGAGACACTGGAGAATCAGAGGGGGAGGAAAGGAGAGGGAACTAGTTGACGCTCAGATCCCTGTGGCTGTTCTAATTACCTAAAGAAGGAGCCATGCTAATTTTAAGAGCATTGCTGTTTTCCTTGAAGGAAAAACGTGGCTGCCAAGCTTCTGGCTCCTCACTAGAACAGTGACTAAGAAAGACTAGTAAATCATCTTGTTTTGAATAGGGATGTTTATGACAGCTGATTTTGAGGCTCTCTTCCCTCTTCCTCCCTCCTCCCCCACTCATCCCTTTTTTCTTCTCTTTCTTTCTTCCTATGTTTTGACACAGAATCTTACTATGTAGGCATGGAACTTAATATGTAGACCTGGCTAGCCCTCAACTCAGATTTGAGTGGTGGGGTTAAAGGCATGTACCAAGATGGGCATGGTGTTGCGCACTGTTAATCCCGGCACTCAGGAGGTAGAGAAGGTGGATATCTGTGAGTACAAGGCCAGTCTGGTCTACATAGAGAGTTCCAGGATAGCCAGGACCTTATAGAGAGACTCTGTCTTAAAAAATAAAAACCAAACATGTACCATTGTGCCCGGCCTCTTTTATTTTTTTGAGATAGTCTGTCTCTGTAGTTCAGGCGGCTGAGGCCACTTTCTTTCTCTCTTTCTTTTCCTTCCTTCCTTCCTTCCTTCCTTCCTTCCTTCCTTTCTTTTCCATTTTTTTTTTTTTTTTTTTTTGTTTCCAGAGACAGGGTTTCTCTGTGTAGCCCTGGATGTCCTGGAACTCACGCTGTAGACCAGGCTGGCCTCGAACACACAAACATCCACCTGCTTCTGCCTCCTGAGCACTGAGATTAAAGGCGTGGGCCACCACCACATAACCTGGAAGCTTTTCTATGCAAAGTCTTCAGATTTGCCTTCCAAAGGGAGGAAGGGGGGCATTCTGTGCATTTGACAGATGCTAGAGCCCACTGGACTTGAGCCTCAGGTCATAAGGACTGCTCAGTGACCTTTGAGGACAGAGTCATTTCTCACTAGTTCTCAGCTCCCTTGGGACTCTGTCCGGCTGTCTCTTCTTCTCCTTCCTTTGCCTTTCCCCCCTCTCTTGCTTGATCTCACTTCCTCCTTCCTCTCCTCTGTTCTGTACTGGGGAATCCAATGTGAGGCGTTGCCTGTGCTAGGCAAGCATTTACCGCCTAGTTATATTCCCCAGCCCCGCCCCATTTCCAGCATGGTTGCTGTAAGAAACTTCCTGAGTGCCTGTTTCCAACAGGAACTTCTATAGGTGATGATTTTCCTTTCGGTGGGTTGGTTCCCCTTCCAGGGCTCTTACTGGACGATTGACACCTGCCCTGATGTTTCCCGGAAGAGAAGACACCCTCCGGATGATGACGTAAGCTCTCTCCATTGGGGGCATCCCTTCCTTGGATTTTAGTTATTTCTGCGGTGAATGTGGGTTAACACCAGCAAAGGGGAGACAAAAGCTTGAGCCTCAGTGGGTGTTTCACCTGTGCAGATAGCTTTTTCTTCTTTCATAATTCTCAGCTCTCCCAAGACTCCCCAGAACAGGAGGCCAGCAAAAGCCCCCGGGGAGCTGTCCCGGGGAGTGGAGAAACCTCACTGCCTCACGAGGGGAACCCTCAGATGTCACTACAGAGCCCCTCCTCCATGGCCAACTACAGCCAGGTAGGAAGCAGGAGCTATGGGCACAGGGCAATTGATGGATGGTTGAGTAGGTTTGGATACTGCCCTGTTCACAGGAACATGGGAAAGAAGGAAAAAGCCAAACAGGGAAACCCAGGCAGCAGGAAGGAGAGAGAGCCAGACCGGGGGGGGGGGGACAGGGGGGGGGACAGCGGGGTGGCAGAATTTTGAGCAAATCAGGAAAATGAGTGGTGAGAAGAGTAAAAGAAATGGGTGGTGACAGAGAGAAAGGAGGACCCCAGGGAAGGGTCATAGAGTCAGGAAAGCTACAGTAAGACAGAGAGAAAGGAGGACCCCAGGGAAGGGTCAGCTGGAGAGGGTGACAAGGACAGGCCTGAGAGGCTGGTGGCCTTTGGGGGGTTGTACTGCTTCAGAAGGGACTTAGACCCTGTCCTTACCTGTTCCGTAGGGCCCGGGGTCTGTGGATGGTGGAGCAGCGACAGCAGGGGCTCCAGGTCGAGAAAGCACAGAGGGTGCTACCCCCCTCTACAACACCAACCACGACTTCAAATTCTCCTACTCAGAGATCAACTTCCAGGACCTAAGCTGGTCCTTCCGCAACCTCTACAAGTCCATGCTGGAGAGGTCCTCCTCCTCACAACACGGTGAGCCTGCAGCGACGATGGCCGTGTGGCGTCCTTAGAGTTTCTTTTCTTTCTTTCCCTTTTTTCTTTGACACAAATCTCTCTGTAGCCCTGGTCTGGAAGTGACTCTGTAGACCAGGCTGGCCTCAACCTCACAGAGACTTGCCTGCCTCTGCCTCCCTAGTGCTGGGATTAAAGGCTCCCTATATATATATATTGGGATTAAAGGTTACCTATTTATAATGGTAACATTCTCTTCTCTTCCAGTTTCCTGTCCTTTTGGTTTTTTTGAAATTACATTTTGTGTGTGTTCATGTGTGCACTGCACATGCCATGGCACACATACATGTTCAGAAGACAGCTTGTGGGGGTCAGTTCTCTTCTACCATTAAGGTCCCACGGATCAAGCTTGAGTTGGGCTTGGTGGCCAATTCATTTGTCTGAGAGACAGGGTTTCTCTTTGTAGCTTTGGAGGACGTCCTGGAACTCACTTTGTAGACAAGGCTGGCCTCAAACTCACAGAGATCCACCTGCCTCTGCCTCCCGAGTGCTGGGATTAAAGGCATGCTCCACCAATGCCTGGCTTCTTGTTTTGATATGTGAAACAGGTTATCGGTCAGAGGGAACGTAAGGGCTAAAGTATTTGGTGCCAGACAGCTGATTCAGGGGCCCACTGGGTTATCATCTTCAGAAAATGAATTGGAAGTTCAACCCAGGGCAGCGATTCCCCCACACCCCTGCCCCAATACTGGGGACTGACCAGGGTCTTGTGTGTATACGGTGAGCACTCTACCATTGTGCCTGCCACACCCTCTAATTCTGGGCTGTGAGCAAGTCATTCAGAGCATGGCCACTAGGGGGCAGTGGTAGCACCCTTACCCCAAGAATCCTTATGCTTTGTATAAGTAATTCACTTTTTTAGTAAGTTAGATTGAGACAGAATGGCAGATACCCCAGGCTGGCCTTGAGTTTGAGACAATGTAGCCAAGGATGGCTTTGAACTTCTGATTCTTCTCTCACCTGAGTGCTGGGATTACATGTGTGCTCCCTTATACCTGGTTTATGTGCTACGGAGGGAGCCAGGGTTTAGTGCAATCAGAGCTACAACTGAGGCTGCTGCCTGCTGAACCTCACTGCCAGCTCTTAATGCTTTATTATTATTAACATTATTGTTTCCTTTGAGATAGGGTCTCACTATGTAGGTTCTCTCTCCTCAACCTCACTCTGTAGACCAGTCTGGCTTTGAACTCAAGGAGGTCCCCCTGCCTCTGCCTTCTGAGTGCTGGGATTAAAGCTAGTATGTTATTTATTTATTTATTATTTGTAAAATATTTCAAACAGATACCAAAGTAGAATGGATTTAAAAAAAAAAAAAAACCCTGGTTTCCATCACTTAAATTTATTTTGTTCAGCTTATTTTATTTGCCATTTGTTTCAAAGGAAATAGTTGTGTGAATTTCCCAGACATTATATCATTCCCGGTAAATTCAGTTTCAGTATGCATCACAAAGGCCTCTCTTTTAGTTTTCCACCACACTGTTACCCTTCCCAACACAATGCATACCACTTCCTCAGTAGCAGCTGGCCTCTTGCCCATTTGCAAATTTCCACGATTATCGAGTGAGAACTAGTGAAAGTCCTTATTGGGTAGCTTCCCGAGAGCCGGTGTGGTTTGGTGTGCTGCCGTGATTATATCTTACAGTGTTCTAGTTGGCTTTGTGTTGCTGTGGTAAAGACCACGACGGAAGGGTAGACACCTCGAGAGGAGAGCAGGCAGAGGCCGTGGGGGACGCTGCTCACTGACTACTCCCCATGGCTTTCTCTCTGCTTTCTTTCCTTTTCTTCTTGGGACAGGGCTTTTTTGTTTGTTTGTTTGTTTGTTTTATGTAGCCCTGGCTGTCTTAGAACTTACTAGGTAGATCAGGCTGGTCTGGAACTCAAAGAGCTCTGCCCACCTTCGCCTCTTCTTGAGTGCTAGGATTAAAGGTGTGTGCTATCATGTCAGCTTCAGCCTGCTCCTGAACCACCTGCCCAGGGATGGTGCGGCCCAGTGGTCAGGGCCCTCCCACTTAAGTCATTAATCCAAAAAAATGTGCCACAGATAGGCCTACATGCCCAGTCCGATTGGCATTTTCTCAATTGATATTCCTTCTTTCCAGATGTTCCTTGCTTCTGTAAAGTTGACAAAAAAGCAACCACACACACACTTGCACACACAAGCACGTTTTTTGCATTTGAATGTTCAAGTGTGTGTGTGTGTGTGTGTGTGTGTGTGTGTGTGTGTGTGTGTCTGTCCGTCTGTCTGTCTGTTTGTGTGAATGTGTAAATGTGTATGCCTGTGAAAGTCTGAGGTCAATATCGGCTATTTTCTTTAGCTGTTTCCACCTTATGTACTGAACCCATGCTGATCCATTAGACAAGTCTAGTTAGTCACCCTGCTTTGGAGCCCGGCTCTCTCTGCCCCCTGAGTACTGGGATTGCAGGTGGCTGCACACCCACCCAGCCCACCCAATGTTCACATAGGTGCTGGGGATCCTAACACTGCTTCTCACAGCTGCAGAGCAAGCATTAGCCCCCTGAGCCATCCTTCCAGCCCAGTTCATACATTCTTAAAAAAGAAGTTAGAAGTATTGACAGGGCTGGGAATTCAGGTGAGGTGTCAGGCCTTCTCGTCTGCTTGGTAGTGCTTTGAGGGCAGCCTGGGCAGACAGAATGATGAGGGGCACAGGGGCCTCAGTCACATTACCTTTTGTCTGAGATCTGCCATCCCATGCACATTGCTTGAGCCCCTTCCAGAACCTGCTGGTCTGTCACCAGTGTCTCCCTCCTTTCCTCTCTGACCCCTCCTCTTCCCAGGCCTCCTCTGCCATCTTCCTTTCCCGCTCCCTTCTCTTTTCTTAGCAAGGTCTCTGTAGACCAGGCTGGCCTCGAACTCCCAGTGCTGGGATTAAAGGTGTGCGCCACCACCACCCAGGCAGAAAATAAAATTTAAGGGGAAAAAAAAAAAAAACCTCAATGTTTTAAGAAACTTAATGATTTGGAGAGATGGTTTAGTGATTGAGAGTTTATGGTTTTGTGTTGGTGGTCGTCGTAGCTACCCTAAACTGCCTTCGGCCTTGGGGGCTGCAGGCTGGACACTCCCCCAAGTTAGCTCTTTCTTGTCTAGTTGGCTGGAGAGGTTAATCAGTCCATCCGCTGCCTCCCACCCAAGCTGCATTTCCTGGTAGTGCATACGAGAAGGCAGAAGAAGAGTAGAGGCAATCGGTGCAGTAAACCATGCTTGCTTAATAGCTTTGTTTTAGTTACAATTTAATGTTTAAATTTCACCCCCTATGTGACTTCCTTTGAAACTGATTCCAGCCCTATATCTAAATCCCCTAAAGGTAGCATGAAAGGTCACCAATGAGGGTTTTAAGAATTTTTATTAACATTTCTGTGGTCACCAGTGGGTCAAAGCTTTCCCTAATCTAACTGCTTTTCCGGTCTGTTATCTACTAGGAGGGACACAGGGTCCTTGCGGTCACAAGATATGCTCTTGTCCTTTAACTCTTCTGCCCAAGCTCTCATCCTGAGAAGATGTCATTTAGTGAAACTGTTTCGCCCAAATCACTTACCTACTTCCTCCTCCCCGGCAGGGTTTTCCTCACTCCTGGGAGACATGCCACCTTCTAACAACTACTACATGTACCAGCAGCCGCCACCTCAGCAGCAGCAGCAACAGCAGCAGCAGCCGCCGCCACCCCAACAGTCACAGCCACAGCAGCCACAGGCACCCACTCAGGGCCCCTCAACAGTAGGGGGTGCCCCTCCACTGCACACCCCAAGCCCCGATGGTTGTACTGCATCAGGGGGAAAACAAGCCGGAGCTGAAGGCTACGGCGCCCCCACTGTGATGGCCATGCACCCTCCCCAACTGCAGCATGGAGGCTACCACCCTCATCAGCACCATACGCACTCCCATCCTGCCCAGCAGCCAGCACAGCATCAAGCACAGAGCCAGGCACCCATCAATAGCACTGGCTTTGGTGAGCATGGAGGGCACACAGAAAGCTGGGAGGAGGGTGAGTGAACTGTCCTGCTGGCAGGGAGGAGCCAGGGGTGAAAAAACTGGCAGTTGGTCTTTGGGGTTCAGTCTCTTATCCTCTCCCCTCATCTCAGCGCATGGAAGTTGGACATAAAACCCCGTACAATGGGTTTCCTGTTCATATTCATAGATGAATTAGCATTGTTTTGCATATTTGCCTATGAACTGGTGGTGCTAAAAGGACAGGCCAGCCTGCCATCCCTGAGTCTCCAGTGAGGGCGTGGCCTCAGCTGACTTGGTGATGCGGCTCTTCAGCGGGGTGAGAGACTTGCATGTGTTGACTGCTGTCTCCCAGCTTGTCTCACTACCCCCTTCCCACAGCCTTTCCTCCAGACTGGTGCTCCAGTATTGACTCCTTAAAGGAAAGCTTCAAGATGGTGAACCGGCTCAACTGGTCCAGCATTGAGCAATCCCAGTTTTCAGGTTGGCACCTTAAGGACCCAAGTGGACAGAAGAGAGGGATGGACTAGGACCCAAGGGATGTCCAAATGGGTGTGGGAATGAGAATTTCATCACTTGTGCATGTTATACCAGAAAGATATGAGTATCTTTAGGCTGTTTCAAAAGTTTGCCATTGTTCAAACGTTACAATGCTTTATGCTGGTCGTCTTGTGTCTCAGGGAAGATCAAAGGCTCCTGGGAACTCAGACTATGGACCGCCATTTTGTAGTTTTACTTCTCGACAGAGAGATGATAGTGAATTCATTAAGTCACTTTGAATATTTTTTAAATAATTTATTTATTCTTATTTTATGTACATTGGTGTTGTGCCTGTATATATGTTTATGTGAGGGAGTCAGATTTCAGAGTTACAGACAGTTGTGAGCTGCCATGTGAGTGCTGGGAATTGAACCTGGGTCCTCTGGAGATCAGTCAGTTCTTCTAACTGCTGAGCCATCTCTCCAGCCCCACTTTGAATATTTTTATTTATTGATGAGATGAAAATTAAAATAAGAATTTGGCAAGGAACAAATGGAATGAAAAGTTGAAAGGCGGAATTGTAGAGTGATGTAACTCATGGGCTCCAGATGGTCATTTTGGGATTTCCCTAAAAGAAAAACAAAATAGTTTCAAATTTAGTCAGAAGCATCCTTAGCTAGAGTGAAATGAGTAGGGTTAATGTAAGCAGTCCTAGAGAAAAAAAATTGTAATTAAAGACTGGCATATTTAATGATACTTGTTGTCATATCATATTTCAATATATACTTATATACACAAAAAAGAAAAAGGTATAAGTCATTATTGTTAGTGCACGATAGTGGCTGTGCAAGTTGAGAGGAAACCTTGTACCAGAGATGGTGTGGTGGGGGCTTCGGTGGCTCCTCAGGGCTGGCATGGCTGGGTTCTCACTTGTGGTGGCTCCTCAGGGCTGGTGTGTCTGGGTTCTCACTTGTGGTGGCTCCTCAGGGCTGGCATGGCTGGGTTCTCATTTGTGGTAGCTCCTCAGGGCTGGCATGGCTGGGTTCTCATTTGTAGAGCTGATGGAGAGTCTACGGCAGGCAGAGCAGAAGAACTGGACCCTCGACCAGCATCACTTCGCCAACCTGTGTGACTCCCTCAACCACTTCCTCACCCAGACTGGTCACCTGCCCCCACAAGGGGGCTCCCACCGGCCACCTGCCCCTCCCCGCATCACTGACTCCTGTGCTCTCACCAGTGGCAAACCAGAGCCATCCATGAACCAAGGTACTACGCAGAGCTGCTAGAGAAGTGGGCTGTGAAGGGTGAAGGGAAAAGAGACACGAGGGACCGATTTTGTAGGCAGTGGACAGGCCGAGGCGCGGGACTGGGTTACTGACTGAGCATCTGTGATCACTGAAGGCCTGCAGGGGCAAACTGCAGAAGCAGCCGACCCGGTCCTTTCTCATGCCTTAGTTTGGGAGGGTTGAAAAAGGGAGGGGATTGGTTAAATAAAGAAAGCCCTTATTCCAAATTGCCCTGGTTATAATCTTCACCTGACTCACCACAGGGTCAAGCCAGTGAAAACAGATTTGATGACCATGTTTGTGGTCATTTTCAGATCTTTGATATTTCACAGTTCTAACATCCATCCCTTCTCACCCTAAGAACTGAGGACCGGTAGCTTCTGCAGAATGCTTCCTGCCTGCAGATTCTATAAACCAAGGCAGGAAGAGAGACAGAGACTGATGGGGCAAGGGGACCTGTTTTCTCTTTCTGCTTTGTTGACTACGATAATCCCCTAGTCAAGTAACTCTTGTTTTGCTTTTGAAGTGAACTCTTATGGGCATCCACAAGCCTCCCATCTCTACCCTGGCCCAGCACCCATGTACCCAATCTCCACCCAGGACACAACAGGTTACAGTCGCCCAGGTAAGAGCTGCAGAGTATTTACATACAGGCATGCTCATCTGTCAGTGTTGTTTTGCTTTCCTCTGGAACCCTCTCTTTGCCCTTCTGTCTGTCTCTGCTAGGATGGGGAGGGTCATGGTTCCCAAGCTGAAGGATGAGATGAGCTGCCCCTCTAGGGAGGAGTGCATCTGGTGAGACTAAGCAAGGCAGTTTTATCTAATTAATTTGCTTGGTTTTAGTGCTGGGAGTGCAGCCAGTTCCTGTACATACTAGACAAGAGCTTTACTTCTGAGCTACACCACTAACTTGGCATTGCTTTAAAATTACCTTATGGGACTGGAGAGATGGCTCAGTGATCAAGAGCCCTAGCTTTTCTTCCAGAGGACCTGGGTTTGATTCCTAGCATCCTCTTGGTTTACATGACTTAAATGATGGTCTGTAACTCCAGTTCCTGGGGATCTGACCTCTCTTCTGGCTTCTGGCACTGCACGAATGTGATACATAAATGAACATGCAGGGGAAACACATGTGCACTTATAATAAAACAGGCTTAAAATTTTTTTAAATTACCTTATAACTGCAATACTGACAGGAAGTAAAATTATAGACATTAAGTGAAAGAAACTGTGAGGGATATTCATGTCTATCTCAGGAATCAAGTTGGAAGAGAGGCAAATGAAATGAATATTTTATATAAGCATTTTACCCAGGTCCTGTCACCTGACCATTAGTATCAGGGATCTGGGGTCAAACTATCATGCTTTTTTTTTTTTTATTTGTTTTTTGCAGTGTTGGGTTAAAGTTAGGGTTTCTTAAATGCTGGGCAAGTTGCTTGCTCAGTGTGGCATTGAACTGTCTTTGATGGTGGGGTAGGCACAGTACGGGAGACACTGAGCCACGGTAGATGGTACCCGTGAACAGACCCCTCATGTTTAAATGAGTTTTAGGCAACTCACTGTTGACATCTTATGTGATCACAAGTATTTCAGTTTCTAGGGTGACTAGGTCTGTTTCTTTGTCCATGCACTGCAAATACAACTTTCTGTGCTATTTCATAAGTTATTCTGTCAGTTAGGTAGTCTTCCAAAACACAGGGTTTAGGACATGTGCTTGGTGTGTTTCCTGAGATGTCACTGAATGAATAGTCCAGGGCGGGCAGAAATAGCTGTGAGTTGCTGAGTCTGGCTCTTTGCTCTGTCCTTCATGGTGTCACTGGGGCAGAGCACTTCCCATCTAGACTGATGGACTTGCATCTCATCCAGCTTCCTTTATGGTCTGTCTTTCTTCTTGACAGCACACCATATGGTTCCGCGGCCATCTGTCCCGCCTCCAGGTGCCAATGAGGAGATTGCAGATGACTTCGACTGGGACTTGATCACTTAAAGAATCAGAGTGGACATCAGCCCAAGGCCTGGTGGTGAATTCTCGCCATGGAGGAAGAACAGCTCCCACCCATCCTCCCCAAACCTGTATATAAATATATAGCTTCTTAAAGTTCTCTCTGTCAGAGAACCCACCGCAAGATGCTGCCGAAGATAATCCCCTTTCCTTCCTTATTCTCTTTTCTTCCTAGTTCTTTATTATTATTCTAATTATATTATTATTATTATTGGTTATATACTGCCCAGTCTACTGCCCCTCACCATGGGCTATGCCTTCCTCTTCCCTATTTGAAATCTTCCAGCTGCAAGATGAGGCCATCATAGGTGTAGAGAGAGGTTTCAGATTCTAGTTCACTTTTCTCTCTGAGAAACTCAGTGCGGCTCCCACTCTCAGCTCTAAATTGTGCTCTGTTCCTGTCTGTTTCAGGCTGGCCCGGAGAGGCCTCAGCAGGCAGAGGGGGCGTCTAAGACACTGCTTGGCAGCCATGACTTTGCAGGTTTTACTCAATGGTGCTAATTGTGTCCTCCTAACTCTTCTTTATGCATCCAGTCTTTATTCTTCTGGCTGTCTTCATTCCCCATGAAGGGTGGCCTTGGACAGCTGAATTAAGTAGAAAGCCATGGAGAAGTGAGTGGATATAAATAGCATGAGGTTAGGTGTGCACTGCCATGCCAAGGTATCCCTGGCTTCTTCCTGCCATGCCAAGGTATCCCTGGCTTCTTTCTGCCATGCCAAGGCATCCCTGGCTTCCTCCTGCCATGCCAAGGCATCCCTGGCTTCCTCCTGCCATGCCAAGGCATCCCTGGCTTCTTCCTGCCATGCCAAGGCATCCCTGGCTTCCTCCTGCCATGTCAAGGCATCCCTGGCTTCTTCCTGCCATGCCAAGGCATCCCTGGCTTCTTCCTGCCATGTCAAGGCATCCCTGACTTCTTCCTGCCATGCCAAGGCATCCCTGGCTTTCTCCTAGCTAATGCTCTTAAGTTAGCATGAGGACCACTGTTCATCACAGGTTCAGCCTCTTGGAAACACTTTCAGTTTAAAGTATTTGGTTTTAGAAATATAATTCTGAGAATTAACTGTGGCTATTACCGAATATCTTCCATCTTCTTTTCTGCTTCAGCAAATCCTCTTTTGTCTTCCTATAACTGTTTGTCCAAATCATCCACCTGCCTTGCTTTCTTCCCCCATTTTCTGGGATTCTAATGACACAAGGAAGCCATTCTCACTCTGGGTTTCTTCATGTCCTAGACATGCTGTTGAAGCCTCTTTCCCAGCTGTCACAGCAGACTCATTCCCATAGTATTGCCTATAGGAAGGAAATAGGGGAGAAGGAAGGGGATTGGCACAGACACGGGTAGGGAATGCGTCATTTGTTTAGCTACACAGGGAGTGCATCTCTTGGAATCCCTATCAGTGGGGCTGAAGCTTTTGCTTTTGACTGGCAATCAAAAATGTAAGGGGGAAATTGATACAGACAGGATTCAGAGAGGGCAAGGGGCACTCCTAGGCATAGAGCTGAGTAATCTCTATTAGCCTTAAGTGGCCGGGGCTAACTGCTGCAGGGTTCTTAGTGGGTTTGCTGAATTTGGCTTAAGAGAGGGAAGACCAAGTTTACTTCCATTTTTCTGAAATGGACAAAACATGTAGCTTAGACAAAGCCAATCTCTTTGTGGTTTCTGACTTTCGTTCATTTTCTTTTATTTATCCATGATTTCCAAGATATTGGGCTTCCCATTCTGATTTCCCCCTCACCAACCTCTTTCTTTTCTTTGGAAGGGGGTTAAAATTTGAGATTTTGGAAGTCCAGTGAGGCTAAGTGAAGGGGCATAAGATGGGGCAGTTCACTAAAGAGCACTTTATTTCTTTTGAAGCCTTTGTAAGGAAAAAAAGCAGGGAGGGTATAAGAAAAAAGCAGGTGCCCTCCTACACGATGGGAGACTGTACCGGAGAGCATTTGGTAGGGTTGAAGTATGATGCAATATTTCCCACTGGGGAAAGGAGTGTTTCTCTAGAGGGTGGCACAAGCCCTTGCCTGGTACCCGGTTAGATATCTCCTTATCCCTTCCCTTCAGGTGTATTCTACGCAGCTTCCCTTTGGCCCTCAACATCTCGTCTTTGCAGAGTAACACTCCTCTTTTCTCAACACCTTTCCTGGTCAGATCTGTACGAGGCTGGGAAGGGCAGGCTGACTCACACTCCTAAATGACTCTGGCTCCTCCACACCTTGAGATCCAGTCTCATGAAGGGCCCGCCCCAGGGGGCAGCCAGAGCGGCTGAAGTGGGGTCTGGAGACTGGCCTTAGACTCCCTGATCTTCCAGCCCTCCTCCACCAGGCTCAGGCTTGCAAAATGGCACAGGACGCACTTGATTCCCTTTGGGCCTCAGTTTCCCATCCCTCTATGAAGTGGAAAGAAAACTACTTTATTTTGTTGGTCCAGTGTTGCTGGACATGAAGTTTTGTCGTTGTTGTCTTGGGTGATGTGTGCAGAATTGTAGGATTCACTGCCTATCAGAGGAGATAAGGGAAAAGAGCAGAGGAGGAGGACAAAAGGAGAGATCATTTGGTATTGATCTACCTATCCTAGGCTTCCTCTCCTCAACTCCCATGTTTCTGGTTTGGTGAGTTCTTTATACCTCCCATAATGCTTTGCATTGGTGCAGGCTGGGAAGAGGGTGTATAGGCTCACAACTTGATTTTTTTTTTTTTTTTTTGCATGCTTTCTTAATAAAAAAAAAAAAAACGCTTCCAGTTTTCTTTATTGGTACTTCTAACTTCTTTTTGCCAGGGTGGGAGAGGAGATATGTGAAAGCACTCGGCTCCTGCTGGCACCATCCATGCCACGGAGTTGCTCAGCTGACCCTGACTGTTGGCAGGAGTGATGGGAAAAGTGAATTAGACACGGATTTCACAGTTTGTCTTTAAAATGCTAGTGAGTGTAGTGAAATCTTGTTGGAGGTCAGTGGGTAGAGGAGGCCATTCTTGTTTGCTTGCTAGTTTAAAGGGCAGACACAAAGTCGCACCCCTAACCAAGAAGCTATTTGCAACTGATACCTGCTAAAAAGGAAATGTCACTTTTCCCCAGTGCAGTGCCACACTCCAGGCCATCCCCATGCCCAGGAATAGCTGGCCAGCAGCACAGAGCAGACTGAGCGTGTGTGTGTGTGTGTGTGTGTGTGTGTGTGTGTGTGTGTGCGTGTGTGTTTCAATGTGTGCTTTTTTGTTGTCTTGTTTTTTTTTTTTTTTCCTCATGAAAAGGCATCTCTGTGTAACAGCTCTGGCCATCCTGGAACTTGATCTGTAGACAAGGCTGGCCTTGAACTCACAGAGATTCATCTACCTCTGCCTCCCAAGTGCTGGGATTAAAGGTGTGCACCATCACCAACTGGTTATTTTGGATTTTTTTGTCTTATTGATTTTCCATTTTTAGTTTGTCTGTTTTGATTTTTTTTTTCTGTTTTTGAGAAAGAACATGAAGTTGGGTGTGTAGGGAGGTGGGGAGAATCTTGAAGGAGTTGGGGGAGGAGAGAGAATGTGATCAAATATATTGTCTATTTTTTATGTTATACGATTTAAAAAAGATTCAGGATACTATACTGTAGGGGAGGGGCTGGGCCTTGTTTTAGATTTTTATGGAGATGAGAGTGTAAAATAGGGAAAGATACGCATCAGAGTTGTAAAATCTGGAATGAGGCGATCTAGTGGTAAAACTCTTCAGAGTACAATCCCAAAGTAAGCAGAGCTCTTGGAAAAAGTCGGGTATTGGCAGGGTTAACTTTCAGTCTTCACATTATGCCAAGATTACCCACCCTGTTGCCCTTACAGTATAATCCAGGAACTGGCACCCAGATGCAGGGCCTTGGAGGACTGGAGGCATGGTATTGCTGCCGCGGCAAGTTTGCAGTCACTCACCATCAGGTCCATTTGCTGCCTGTTAGGGGTTGTAGTACATTTTGAGTGTCACACAGACCTGCAGTTGGGGCCCAGGGAAATGGCCCAGTTGCTATGAGCACTTCCTACTCCTGCATAGAACCACGATCTGGTTCTCAGCACCCACATAATGGTCACAACCACCTATAACTCCAGATCCGACACCTCCTATAATCTCCGGACACCAGGCATGTAGGTGGTACACAGACTCACATTCAAGCAAAGCACTCAAACACATAACATCTAAAAAAAAGTTAAAAGGATTGGTGAGTCTTAAAAGTTTTTATTCATATGGAATACATGAGTTTAGATTGGAAAGGCAAAACTGATATCTTAGGCCCAAAATTGCCTCAAAACAAAAAAAGATTCTTAGTCATTGAAATTTTTCTGTACAATAGTTTATAAAACAGTTGTAGCTTAAGACCCTTCCTGCAACAACTGAACAAATGTGTTGCAAGACTAAAATACATTCAATTTTCTGTCTTCACACTGATTCATTCATCTTAGATCATCTTATTTGTGCAAACAAGCTCGAATTTTCAGTGACTCAACACATAAAAGTATACTTATAGTAATAGAAATACCAGGGGTTGGAGAGATGTCTCAGCAGTTAAGAACACTGGCTGTTCTTCCAGAGGACCTGAGTTCAATTCCCAGCACCCACATGGTAACTCCAGTTCCAGGGTACCCAATAACCCTCATGCAGGCAAAACACCAATGCACATAAATTAAAAAAAAAAAGAAAGAAAGAAAGAAAGAAAAGATGATGGGAGTTTCTAATTCTTAAAAATTACTAAAGTTTTAGTGTAGTACTATGTATAATAGTTAAGCTGTAGAACCTGACAGTTAAGTGGATGGCAATGTGCTACATACACAAATGCAGTTTTATTTAGCTATAAAGATGAGCAAAATCCTGTTATTCTTAGCACAAAGGATGGTACTGGAGGACATGTGAGTAAGATGAAGTAGGCACATAAGCACCACATAATCTCATATAGGAGAGCCAAAAATGTCAACCTGAGTAGACTGGGGAGTAACTCAGTTAGTTAGGATGCTTCATTAGCATTCATGAAGACCTGGTTTTGATTCCCAGCAGCATATAAGACTGGACATAGTGGCCCATGCCTGTAATCCCTGTATGATGGGAGGTGGAGGCAGGAGGATTGGAAACTCTTTGGTTGCGTAGCAATTTTGAGACCATCTGGGATTCTTGAGATCTTGTCTTAAAAAAAAAAAAACAAACAAAAAAAAAAAACCAAAAAGCTAACCAGAGAGTAGAATGATGAGGCAGAGACTGGGGTGGGAGAGTATGCATGTATGGATCAATCACATTGCCTTATATGTATGATTATTATGTGTTTATATAAAAACCAAGAGGACAGAAGAAAAGTGGTATGCTATCAAAATGTGTTGACAAGAAAATTGTGTAGTCAGCTGGGGCAGGGTGTAATGCTCAGGTCTAGTACTGTAACAAGAGACCTGTGAGTCAGAGGCTAGCCTGTTCTACACAGAGAGACCCTGGCTCAAAAACAAACAAAACCTAACAACAAAAAGTAAAAGAAGCTGGGCGGTGGTGGCACACAATCCCGTCACTTGGGAAGCAGAGGCAGGTGGATCTCTCTGAGTTTGAGGCCAACCTGGTCTACAAAGCCAGTTTCAGGACAGGCTACACAGAGAGAAACCCTGTCTTGAACCTCTCCCCCAAAAAAAAGTAAAAGAAAAAGGATGGTCATGGACAAATTAAAGTATGATACTAAGCAACACTGCAATGTTGGGTGAGACTATGAAAGTGAATAAAATATTCATCTTCCAAAACAACCACTTTTATCCTACCTATGAAAAACAGCAGTGTAAGCATATGATTTAGGTACATCATGGTAAATGTCAAAACAAACAGCTAACATTCTTGCAAAAGTGCTTTCTTGAAGCAAGAGAGAGACAGGAACTACTGGGCATTGGAGAAAGAGGCCTCTTGTATTTCATAATTATTTCATTATTCATTAGTTCCTTTAAAATAGGGTGTATATATCACTTTAAAATACCACGATCCAGTTAAACGTTAATTTGGAAAAGCCCAAAGAGAATGTGCCTGGCACTTTTGGCATTCATGATACCTAGACTCGTGTTTCAAGTATTTTGATGGTATTGCCACCAGGGTGCAGTGACCTGGGAGTGAGTTGAGGAATGGCAGTTCCACTTTTCTTCATGCCATTGGGGTGAGGGAAAGGCATCTTTAGAATACTGCTTTATTCTATGTGAGGCACAAAGTCTAATGTGGAAGACTAAGAAGGCGGCCAGGCATGGTGCTACCCCAGCAGGAGATGGTGGATCTCTGAGTTCGATGCCAGCCTGGTCTACAGAGTGAGTTTCAGGAGAGCCTGGGCTACACAGAGAAACCCCATCTTGAAAAACCAAAGGAAAAAGAAAAAAAGAAAAGAAAAGAAAAAGAAAAGGGACAGATGGTTCTATGAGCAAGCAGAATGCATAGGGGAGAGCGCTCCAAACCACAGCTTCCAAAACACCCCCTGAGTAGGGGTTCATGTGTATCTGTACTCATTTGGGGGTGATCGTGGGCACCCGGGATTATCTGAAGACGCTTTCAGTAACAGGCATTTGGCCTGCATTCTGTTCCAGTCTCTAACTCATCACTACTTGCTTTCGCAGGCCTTATCTTTTTTGTATCTTTTCTTTTTCCTCACTTAAAACCACCACCACCATCATGAAGCTCTACAATAAGTGAATATCTTTCAGGACAATAAAAGCAGCCTTCCCTGCAAACTGAAAGATGATTTAGATGGCGCTAAGGAAAAAAGATTAGTATTGAAAACAGATGAGAAAGTTATTTATCACTCACGGCTTAGTTAGGGACAGTGCTTTAACAGGCCCTATTGTTTCTGATTAATGCTCAGTTTCTCAGTCATTTGACCTGTTAAAATGCTGGTCCCTGTGGGTCGGAGATTCAGAGTCAACAAACCTGGGACTTGAAATTTTGCATCTTTGATGTTTCCAGATGATGCTGATGTCAATAGTCAGAGACCTCTCTCTGATAGCCACCAGATTGACTAAAGTGTCCTGCTCACATGTTCTCCTTCACCAGTATTGGCCTGAGAACAGCTGGTTAGGTCCCCAGCTCCGCATCTTCACACATCTGTACTCAAATTGTTTCCTTTTGAAGAGGCTTTGTCCTGGGTATAGTTGGTAGAGTGTGTGAGCTCTTCACTGAAGGCTGCCTCCAGAATGCCTTTTATGGACTGTTTTGCTTTCTTCCTAAAGTCTTTTCCCAAAAGGGCATAAAGGAAGGGGTTGAAGCAACTATTGGCAGATGCTAAAGCAATGGACATGTGGTCCCAGGATAACGCAGCTTCCCTCAAAGGAGTTTCTGAGTCAGCAATCAATAAAAGGACTCCAACAATATGGTATGGAGTCCAGCAGACAAAAAAGACAGTCACCACCACCAAGGCCACCCGAAAGGTTTTGCTCCGAGACTTGGTGAAGTTGGCTTTTCTCATTCGGAAGACAATGAGGCTGTAACAAGCCGTCATGATAAAAAGGGGCACCAGGAAGCCCACCACCAACCTCGTGATGGTTATTGCCACCATAGGTGTTTGCTCATGATACATGAACTGGGCGGAATAATCATCCTGGAAATCTTGTGAATGCTCAGGGTGGGATATGTAGTTGCTAGAAGCAGTAGCAAAAGGCTCTATAGGAGCAGAGAGAAAATCATGGGCCCTATGTGTGCTGGCTCTGTGATCTTCAACAGGAAACCCAGTGGGTATGGCAGGCATGAGCACACTGGGAGGTTTTACACTGTAATGGGATTGTTGTCTAGACAGTCTTGCTGAGTCTAGAGGGAAGGAATCTTCAGAAGATCCTTGGAGTGTCTGTGACTGGAGGGCAGTGACAGCTGTCTGAAGGTGATCACTTATTTGGGAAGAGGAAGGATCTGACCTGTCATCTATTTGTCCTGTTAGCTGAACAGTGGAGTTGTCAGTAGAATTACTTTCTGGTAGATCCCCATTGTAGTCCCAATAATCAAAATCCCTATGGGAATCAAAGTTATAGCCACATACACTGTGATTGTTTATAGTGAATAGATCACGGTATACAAATACTGGTACACACATCACAAAGGCCACTGCCCAAACACATCCACAAATGGTTAAGGCTGTTCTCACATTCCGATGATTCTGGCACCAGATTGGCTTGTGTACCATCAGACAGCGGTCCAGGCTAATGGCAGTAAGCAAGAAGACACTGGCAAACATATTAAGGACGATGATGGATGGGATAAGTTTGCATAGGAACAAGCCGTAGGGCCAGTAGCCCTGGAGAATCAAGTGAGCTAGGGAGAAGGGCAAGGAAAGGCAGCAGAGGAAATCGGCCAGGGTGAGATGGAGAAACCAAACTGTGTTCACGGTCCGCTTCATCTTTAGGCCAGCCACCCACAGCACCAGCCCATTGCCTGGCAGTCCCAATAGACAAGTGAGGCAGAGGATGAGCATAGAGAGGATGTCTTGAGGTTTAAACACGTGTGGGGAGTGTGGGTCAGTTGAATTGGTGTCAGCAGAGAAAGACTCCATTGCCAACCCTGAAAAAGATGAAGAGAATGTTAAAGCTTGTAGCAACTTTGGGAAAATAGGTACTCTCAGGAGGCCTCATGTGATGATGCATCCCTTAGATGCCAGAGACTCTCAGGAGTCTGGTTCCCATTCCTTTACCAGAATAGACACACAACAGCATTCTCTGATAGGCGATTTAAAAATATATGGTACTGATTTAAATGTATATCAAAAAGATAACTTCATTTGGAAATCCACATCCAATCAAGTCCCTCCCCCTTTTTTTGTTATGCCCCCCGTTTTTTGCTGTTGGTTTTTTTTTCAGTGCTGAAACTCAAGCCTAGTGCCTACAAATGCTGGGCAGCACTCTACTGAGCTGCAGCCTCCCCCCTTGGCCTTTTGGCACAGGAACTCTATGTTACCCGAGCTGGCTGACTTCCAACTGACCACATTGTAGAGTAAATGGCCTTGAAACCCATGGTCCTCCTGCCTCTGACTTCTGAGTGCTGGCATGACAGACATGGCCCCCACACTTTGCTGTGACACTTTTTGTTCCTTATTTCCACAGCTTCTCCCTTCATTCAGTGTCCACTACTAAAACTGAACAGATGTCTAATTGAGCAAATAAGCAAAAACTTTTAGGTGGATTTTCCCTAGTCTGAAGTCACCAAAGGACTTTCCGAAGATTTCACAACACTGACAACAGCATCTAAAAGTTGAACTTCCCATATTGTCATTTCATTGTTTATTTATTGTGCGGTGTGTGTGTGTACGTGCGCGTGGAGGTCAGAGGACAACTTTGGGAGCTCAATTTTAGCATATTTAAGCTTATATTCAAGCTTCCTTATAGCCATTCTTTTCATGCATATGTAAATTTTACAAACAAAATTTAATGAGGTTCAGTTGATTCATGTATATTTAAAAATCGATGGTGATAAAATAAATACACATAAACTATACAATTTACCATCCTAATTAACTACTTCAAATATAGAATTTAACAGTACCTTAGTCAGTTTCTATGCAACTAATTTCCAGGATGTTTTTATTTAATAAAAACATGAATTCTCTACTCATTAAACATCTTTGCCATGTATGGTAGTGCATGCCTTTAGTCCCAGCACTCAGGAGGCAGAAACAGGTGGATCTCTGTTAGTTTGAGGCCAGCCTGGTCTACAGAGTGAGTTCCAGGACAGCCAGGGCTATGTAGAGAGGCCCTACATAAAAATAGATAGATAGATAGATAGATAGATAGATAGATAGATAGATAGATAGATAGATCAATCACAGACAGAGGAGACAGGTAGGAAGATATATAGAAAACCTCTCAATTCAGGCAACTGTACTTTGCTCTTATAAACTTGATTACATACTTCATGTAAGTAAAGTCATGTGGCACTTGTCTTCCTTACTCTCCGTGTGTGTGTGTGTGTGTGTGTGTGTGTGTGTGTGTGTGTGTTCATGTGTGTGTGTGTGACAACCATAGGGTCTCAGTTCATAACCCAGGCTTGCCTTGAACTTGCAGCAATCCTGCTTAAACTGTCCAAGTAGTGGGATTACAGGCAAGAGCCGACATGCCCAGCTCAGTCTTTTTCTTTTTGTTTTTCACTTGTCATGATGTCCTTCAAGTATGAGATGTGTCAGGATTTTCTTTTAAAGGTTCAGGGTGCCTCTTGGTGAATGCCTGGAATCCTAGCACTTAGTCACAAGCTATAAGCATTGCTACCAGTTCAAAGCCAGTGTGGGCTACATAGTAGGAGCTTGTCTCAAAACAAAATGGAATGGATTTGATATTTCAATGTGTGTGTGTGTAGCATATTTTATTTATCTGGTAATCTGACACAGACATTTGGATTGTTCCTACCTTTGGAGCATTTAAATACTACAGTTGTATTCCTCTGCTTTCCATTGCTGTAACAAAACACTGACTGAAGGCAACTTGGAAAGAGTTAATTTCTTACGTATTCCGGTCAGAGTCCATTGAGGGAAGCCTAGGCAGAGGCCTGGAGGCAGCCATAGAGGAATGTTGTTTACCGGTTTGCTTCTCATGGCTGCTCATCCTGTTATCTTATGCATCCAGGACCATCTACCTGCCCAGCGGGCAGTGGGTTGCATGCTCCCACGTCAGCAGAATCAACAAAAATGTCCCATAGAGTTGTCCACAAGCCAATATGATGGGTGCATTTTCTCAATCAAGCTTCCTCTTTCCAGATAACTCTAGCTTGTGTCAGGTTGAGAGAAAGCGGTAACAGACATAATATACACTGCTCTCTAGATTCACTGTTTCAGTTTAATCCCCACATCACACAGAAAGATTCAATTTAAGGAGTGTCAAGTTTTTATCAAATTATTTTCCAACATTCTCCCTTAATATCTTTTTTTTTTTAAAAAGTCTTCATGCTTTTTGTTATGTATTTAATCTTTTATTTTATATATGTGTATGTGTGTACGGTTGTGTGAGCTTATGTACCCCACATGCATATTGGATCCTGTGGAGTCCAAGAGACATGGGATCCCCTGGAATTGGAGTTACAGACAGTTGTGAGCTGCCATGTGGGTGCTGGGAATTGAACCCAGGACCTCTAGAAGAGCAGCCAGTGCTCTTAACCCCTGAGCCATCTCTCCAGCCCCTAAATATCTTTCATAAGTGGTTTCTCCACAATGATCCAAGCTATGACCAAACCTTCCATTAGGTTGTTGGTAAACTTTAACACAGCTTCTCTTTCAAGGCTGATGGCTTGTTTGGGGGAGATTATTATTATGAATAATCATTCCTTTTTGCTTGTTTATTTGAGACAGGGTTTCTCTGAGTAGCCCTGGCTGTCCTGGAACTCACTCTGGGAACCAGGCTAACCTTGAACTCAGGGATCCACCAGCCTTTGCCTCCTGAGATATGGCATTAAAGGCATAGCCACAATGCCTAGCTTGAGCAACCATTCTTAATTTTCTTTTTCAAGGTTTGGGTTTAGTTTGTCTTTTGCTCCTATTGCTCTGCTAAAATTGCATCAAGAACACAAACTCAAACCCAGACCGATTTCTCTATCTTCCTTCCACAAGACAGTTCTTTCAGTCTGTTTTCCTGGTCTCCATGACGTCTTTCCAATCAACGCAATGTTATATTCCTGCACTGAGGCTAATGGTTTCAGTTTAGAACTATGTCCCTTGTATAGCTTCTTCCTTTCTGTACGCTAAATTTCTGTCTGTTAAAATACTTACTCCTCAAGGTAAAACTTGATGCCTTTTGTCTGAAATATTCTCTTACAATCCCTTGAAGATTCTTCGGTCTTCTTCCTTGCACGGGTGTGCACACCCATGTGCATAAGCCTGTGTGTGTGGTTGAGTCCTTTCTGATATGCTCTATGAGGTGTCGTATTCCATTTTACTTTGTAATTCTTATAGTGACCCCAAACTGTGTGACGGTAATGACAAGACCTGTTTATAAATGCCTATTCCATGGGATTTAGCACATGGATGGGCCGTCACTTCTTTTCCTTTGGCTTTTCTGAGATGAAGCCTGATTATATAGCCCAGGTTGACCTCTGACTGAAGAACTTCTGCTTCAGTCACCAAGTGTTGGGATTACAAGGCATGCACCACCATGATAGGGGAATGCTTACTTTTCATTTTCAATTACATTTAAAATTTTAGTTCTTAGCCTTTTCATTTTTACCCAGATAGCTTTCTTAATCCCTATGCTGTCTCTTCTCATTTCTGTTTAAATTCCCAATTATTACAGGATATAATAACACTTTACTTTTTTTTTTTTTTTTTTTTTTTACGGAAGTCCAGACATTTGGAAGTCATTCTGCTGAGTTTAACAAAGATCACCACAAGGTCTTATGTGGCAAACGGAAGTTAAAAGAACGAGTCAACAAAATGAAAAAAGGAGAAATGATTCCCATCCTCCTATCTGCCTTTCTCTACTCAGATCTCCAAATCTTAGCAGTCCTTAACTTGAATGGCCAGAGTGCTGATCTATTGTCCTATCCCAATGTTAATGCACAGTACTCAAGATAGTGAGAGAAAGAGTCAGAGATTGCTAGAAACAAACAGATATTGCGAATGCCATCTGTCCTCACTTTACAATTTTTGATGTTGAAACTCAGGAGATTGTGTAGCCTTTACAGCCCGGGAAGGGTTGCAAGTGCTTCATCCAGTAACTGTTCGGCCAGCGCTCTTTCTACTGCAAGGTCACATAGTTGAGAAAACTTCAGTCTTGATAATAAAGTACAGCTTACAATAATAGTGTTGCTGTCTGTAAACTGAGAAGGGCAAGTCCCCATATAAGAGAAACTGAGCACCATGCTGTGAGCTATGGTTTAAATATCACAGATTATCTGCCCTGAAACTGTATGCAAGTCACCTTTAAACAGTCACCCAGAGCAAGATCACAGTTCATATTTCCCTAAACTTTGAGAAAAACAAAAAACTCTCTATGTGTAAGTTTATTAGTTTTTTTCTTAAGATTTTAGTATTGACTTAACCAGTAGTAATTAAAAGATATGTAAAATCTTGAAACTAAAACTTACCTATAATGAGTAAAGAAAAGTGGTTTCCCCAGAGAAATACTAATTATAGGATGAGAGAACCAGTAGCACTAAAGACAGGAAATTTAGAGAGAGATAGGACGGGAATCCACATATGGAGATACATACACACACACACACACACACACACACACACACACACATATCCATACACACACACATATAAATAATGAGTGTTCCTTTGATCAGTGATGGGAGAAACAGCATTAATGGGAACAAACAGAATCACAGGTCAGGAGAAAGTCACTCTGTGAAAGGGAGTGTCATAAATATTCATTATTTTCAGAATGAAAATATTAAAAGCAAAGACAAATAGAATGGGTAGTATTGAGAGGCAAAGGAAAGGAGACATAGGGATAAGACAGGAGAAATAAAAGTTCTGGTATGATGGCACTAGCCTCTAATCCCTGCCTTCAGGAGGCAGAGGCAAAATCTACATCTCTGAGTTTAAGGCTAGCCCAGTCTGTGTATCCAGTTCCGGACCAGCCAAGACTACACAGTTAAGACTCTGTATAAATAAAACTCTTAGGGAAGGAATGGATTGAAACAGAAGATAACGAAGTTGAAACCGTTGTACATGAACCGTATAGCAGGCTAAACGAAGTACAAGCTATCAGGTTCATCTAGGGTTTCTTACCAAGTGCACTGAGATGAAAGCAGAGGGCTCCGGTACTGATCTGCAGGTCACCAACAAATCCTATCTGGTCCCCACACTTGGCTGGAAGGGAGTCATAAAGTCCATTGGATGAGTTGCTGAGCCCTTACTTTCCTATGGTAGAGGGAACTCCGCATCTAGACTGCTATCTGACTGCTCAGGAAGGGCCTCTGTGAGTCACGTCTTAAACTTAGGCGGTTTAGATAAGGAAAGCAGAAGGACGGAGAGGGGAGTGGATGCTACTTGCTCCGCAGGCAGGAGCCATCGTCTAGCTACTAGAGTGCTGACGCAGGAAGTAGGAAATTTCCAGGCTTGCCTGGGCTACAGAGTGGGGTTTTTTTTTTTTTTTTTTTCCCCTCTCTCTCTCTCTTTTTCTTTTTCCTTTTAAATTCATCTTATTTTGTTTTTATGTCTGTGTGGGCCACATGTGTTTGGGCGCTCACAGAGGCAGGAACGGGATGCTGGGGACCGAGGGACCTCTGCCAGAGCAAAAAGTGTTTTTAACCTCTGGAGTCATCTCTCCAGCCCTCTAGAGTGAAGTGTTTAAAAGATTTCTTTATTTATTTAACGTGTAAGGTTTTTTAAATTTTATTTATTTTGTGTGTGTGTGTGTGTGTGTGTGTGTGTGTGTGTGTGTGTGTGTGTTTAACCAGGAGGCCAGAAGAGGACATCAAACATCAAATTCCCTGGAATTGGAGTTAGAGGTGCCCTGAGCAACCCAGTGGGTGCTGAGGACTGAACTCCTAACTACCGAGTCATCTCCCCAGCCTCTAGAGTGATTTTAAGGCAAACCTGAGAAAGTTATCAAGGCTTTATCTCAAAATAAAAAGCAATTAGAGATCCAGGGCTGTAGATCAGCAGTGAACACTTGCCTGGTATGTCTTAGGCCCCTGTGTTTGTGTTTAATCTCCAGCACAGGAACAAAGAGTGTGTATGTGGGTGGTGGTGGTAGGGGGGAATGGGAGGTGTCTATGATCAAGATACATTGCATACATATGTATTTGTTAAAGAACAAATAAGAACACATTTACCAAAAAAGATGGCTGAGTTGGGGGTCTGCGGTTTGAGGAGAAATGCTGTAAAAATCACATTTAATTAATCTTAAGTAGTATCTCTTTAATGTTTGATATGCAGATAATAAATTAGGCTACAGTAGAATCAGAATGAGTTAAACAATGTAATCTCTGCAGATTTCCACACACACACACACACACACACAATACAAACATACTTTGCTTATAAGTAGAAATGAAATGGAATGCAGTGTGTATGGCTATGTCTATCTGGAGACAATCTGGGAAAAAAGTAAGAGAGAAGTGAGATGTAAACAGCCCTGAATGGCTACAGGGCTTGCACAAGCGGACAGTACAGTGCTATTGCAAAAAACTGCTCCGGGCAAGGGTTAGTGAGGAGGCAGCTGGCTCCCGGTGGCCTCGCCTGTGGGCACTAGGCTACATTTCACTAGGTGAAGGTACAGTCCCTGCTGGAAAGAATTCTTTCCCATCAATCAGGTGTGGTGGCCCACATCTGTAAAACAGGCACTCGGGATGCTGAGGCAGGAGGATCACATGTTCCAGGCAGCATGAGCTACAAAGTGAGACACGTACTCAAACGGACAGGCAAAGACTTCTCACTGTCAGCCTTTTGCGTACAACTAAAGCTGATTTTGGTTCTCTATACGGCACAGCAGGGATTGTATTTGGAGGGTTACTAGACACAGATGTGTATGTAACAATAATTTCACCAACATCTTGGCATCTAAATTGGCCTCTTCAGGAGCTAAATATTCAGCTCCTAGGAGTTGGAACTTCATCTCCAGTAAAACAAAGTGAAAGATGGGTCAAGTGTATAGGGGGAGAAGGACAGAGAGGAAAATTAAAACCGTATGTGGCTAACATAGCTATGAATTTATGGGGATGTGATTTGTTACAACAAAGGAAAACCCAGATTAACGTTCCTGCAATCTCAGAAACAAACCATAAAGAAGAGAGAAATATTAAACGGTATTATCAAGCACAGTCACGCTGTTCAGGTTATACAGCTGTTGATCTTTCAAAGGGGCCAGCAGCAGCCCTACCTTTAAAAGGTTAATTGACAAACTGTGTGGGTGGTACAATGGTCTTTGATATCAGAAAAACTGCAGGCATCAGAACAGCTGGTATAAGAATGGCTAAATGCTCAACATATTGAACAAACAACCAACCCTTGGAATTCTCCTGTATTTGTTATTAAAGAGAAATCTGGAAAATGGAGAATAGTAATGGGTCTAAGAACTATTAATATGGTGATCCAGCCAATGGACTCTTTACAGCCTGAATTCCCTTGCCTTCTTTATTACCTAAAGGACTGTCTATTATAAAAGACTTCTTTTTTACTATACCTTTACAAGAACAGGATAGAGAAAAATTTGTCTTTACAATGCCTACTTATAATAATCCTCAGCCTGTTAAAAAGGTATTACTGGAACATTTTTCAACAAGGGATGTTAAACAGCTCCACCTTGTACCAATATTTTGAACAACACTCGTTGGAAATAATTTATAAAGTTCTTTCAATGTACAATTTACCATTATAGTAATGATCTCTTACTAGCTGATTCAGACACCAATTAGAACAAATGTTTGATGAAATGAAGAGAATTTTGCCTTGCTAAGGATTATAAGTTACTCCTGAAAAAATACAAAGAGGAGATTCTATAAACTACCTAGGATATAAGATAGATTTACAGAAAATTCAACCACAGAAAGTACAATTCAGGAGAGATCAATTGCAAACTCTTAATGATTTCCCCAAATTCCTGGGAGATGTTAACTCATGATAGCCCACAATCAGATTAATAATTCAAGGGCTAAGTAATTTATTTCAAACCTTAAAAGGTGACAATATCTTAAATAGTCCAAGAAAATTATCAGTTGAGGCTGAGAGAATTGGCTTTGGTAGAAGAGAAATTATAGGATGCATATAGTAGAAAAAAAAAAGCTAAACTAAATCAATCTGTGCACTTTAAGGGTATGTTACCCCAGAATAGAATATGGAATATGCTTTTTTTTTTTTTCTAGTCAGGGTTTCAACTCACTTTGTAGATCAGGCTGGCCTTGAATTCCCTGAGATCTGCCTGCTTCTGCCTCCCAAGTGCTAGGATTAAAGGTATGTGCCACCATCGCCTGGTAGATACCAGGATATGTATTATGTTAGGGAAGAGGTTTTGCTTTTGTTTCTACAGGAGAAGAGAAGCTATGGATACCATCAAAATTGATAAAGATTAGATTTGAATAGAAGAGACCCCTTGATTAGAAGAGGGGATAGTCCATCCAACATTGTGACCATTCAATTTAAATTAACATATAAGACTAATGCCTTTCATTTGGTCAGATATAACCTGCCAAAAAGGGAAACTTCCCAAAGTTAGGGTTGGGGCAGGCTTTTGTTTTTGTCTTTCCAGGAGACTAAAAACATATAACTAAGGAATCTGAAGGCCCCTGGACAAATGAGATGCCTGAAGAAGGATGAATTATCCAGAGAAAATGTTCCAAGTAACAGAGTAAATTGGCCTAATGGTATAGCACACTTCCAACAGGAAAAATTTCATAAATCTCCCCAAATGTTTGCTTCTTCTGTTTTCTACAGACATATAATGCAAATGATGGTTTTGTAGTTCCAATTCAATTAAAAATTAAAGCTGGCTTTGGAGTTGGAGCATTGCTCTCTCCTTCTCTAAACCCAAGCATGCTTGTTAAAGGAAAATCCAAAATCTCTCTCAGGTCAGAAGAGCTACCTGGTATGGGAGAGAAGAAAAAACAAAATTAAGGGACTATCTTCATCCTATTGCCACTAATCTCATAATCCTTTGGTTTTATTTTGATGCTTTAGAACTTTTCTAAGTTATAAATATTACCTCAAAATTTATAAGATACACACACACACACACACACACACACACACACACACACACACATTTTTCTGTTGTGATAGAGTACTAACTAATTCTAGAAATCCTGCACATGATTTCAGGCTTGAGTCTGAATCAGGTAATGATGAATTAAGCTTTTGTTCCCAGATGTATTTAATAGATTGTGATCTTTTAACCTATTCAAGTTCTGCTTTATATGACATTTAAAATGTTTAGACTTTCTGCAGTGAACTATGACCAATCATAATAGTGACCTTTAAGTCTCCAAAAGGATGATCGGGTCCCACAACAATGATTCCACCTGGATTGTGGTAATGCCATTAAGCTGACAAACACTACCCAAAGATCAGCTGCTCAGGGCAGTTTCAAAGTGGTTAGCTATGATGGTCCAGCCTCACAGACTACTCCAGCCAGGTCTTTGGGTGAGCCCTCCATTTCCCCATCACACTGACAGTCATCTCAGTTCCCTCAGGGTCCCTAAAGATGCTGATGGCCCCAGACAACAGGAAGCAACTTTAAGAACATGATGCCCAAATTCCCAAAAGGTAGGGTGGATGGATTTTTTTTGTCAATTGGGTTATGGATGTTTGTTGTTGTTTAGAGGGGTTGGTTGTAAGTTGCTATTGGTCGTAGTCAGAGAGGAACCCAAGTAAAAGAGATTAGATTTAGGGATCTCCTGAAAAGAAAAAAGGTGGGATATAGGAATGATAAGAAAAAGGCTAGGTTATTGAATCCACATTTTTTAAAGAATGATTTGTTTATTTATTATGTAAACAGTGTTCTGCTTACACACCAGAAGAGGGCACCAGATCTCATTACGGATGGTTGTGAGCCGCCATGTGGTTGCTAGGAATTGAACTCAGGACCTCTGGAAGAGCAGCCAGTGCTCTTAACCTCTGAGCCACCTTTCTAGTCCCTACTGAACCTACTTTTAAACAACATCAAAAAGGAACTACTAGTCTCAAATATTTTAAATGGATATGGATTTTTCTATATTGATACAAATTTAAGGTTTTTTTGTTTTGGACAGTATTTCTATGTGTAACAGCTTTGGCTGCCCTGGAATTCACTTTGTAGTTCAGGCTGGTCTCAGATTTCCAGAGACCCAACTGCCTCTGCCTCCTGAGTACTGGGAATAAAGGCGTGCACTATGTTTTAATAATATAAAGCTTTTCATGACAGTGAGACACATCTGCTCCTGGCTGCACGAATATACTTAATAAAAAGATGGTGGGCATTAGAGACCTCCATATGGAGTTTTCTATTGGGCAAGA